TATTTATTCCCGTTTTTCAATTCAACGCCCGTTTCAGTAATTTCTTGAATTTCACTCAATTCTTGTACAATATTTTCCGATAAGTTTAGAAATGGTTTTCCATTTCTGTGACAGAAAATCACTTGTTTTGCTATTTCTGAGATTTCAACACAAATGTCAATACCGGAGGGCCCGCCGCCCAACACCAACACTACCTCTCCCTCGAAACCGTCGGCCACTCTATAGTCATGAGTGTGTAATACCTTTCCTTTGAATGTTTGCAACCCTTTAATGTCTTTGGGAATGAATGGTATTGAATACCTGCCATTGCATACAAATACAGAGTCGTAAATGTGTTCATTTGTTTCATCGCTTATAATATCTTTCACCACAACTTTCCATATATTTTCAAATCTCGAAACTTTTATTATCTGATGATTAAACTGTTTTTGAAATGTAAAATCATTGAAAATTGAACCGCAAATTAGAGTTAAATTCTTCTCACTTTTATATATTGAAATAAATTGAAATGTTTTGCATAGTCTTCGAGATATTGGCGGACATGAGTCACGCTATGCTTGCTACAGAGTGTAAACCTCCGTTTCAGAACTTTGAGGTACTAAAGGTAGCCTTATAATCAAGACAAAACTCTCTTTCAGACATAAGAATATCGTTTTATGATCAACACTACTTTCCATACCTCATATTCTTATACAAACTCGTGTGTATTGGGAGTCCATTGGTGTCCAAACCGACCGAATCGGTGTAATTCCAAACGCCGCCCACTTTTGTTGTCTTCTCGTAGACATCGAAAGTGAATACTGAGTGATATTGTGATAGATGTCGGGCCGCACACAGACCGCCCGCACCCGCGCCTATAACACACGCTCGCATTCGCTTGACTTTGTTTTCTGATATATTCATAGCTATACGTGAATGAAGACAATAATTTGAGTTAATTTTTGATTTATTGAATTAATTTTTTCATAAATGTAATTTTAAACTATCGATCAAATGGTGTCTTATGATCCAAACTGATTGACTGATAATTGGTTTCAATTGAAGGCCATTCTCTTATTTAGGTTTTAAAACATCTTTGCATACATTGAAACAAATTCATTGAAAAACTTGTTATGAAATTCTTGTGTGTTTGGATTAATTGCAATAAATTATAAATACAGTGGAGATATGTTGAGTAGAAATAACCCATTTTTACAAATTACCAGTCATTATGTAATGGCTTTCTATTGTTATTTTAAATTACATTTAAACTAAACAGTTTTAGGTTTTAATACTATTTCCTTCTTTCATACGAAATAAAAATAACAGAACTTTGAACACAAATGGGTTTTACTCTCACTTACAGTTAACAGGAATTAACAAAATAATAAAAATTTGAACTTTTTACAATTAAATGATATTTAAATTTTAAACAATATAATAGTTATCATAAATGCATATCACAATTAGCACAATATTCATACAGTACATTAGTCTTATCTCATTAGTCTCAACAGTTCATAACCTTTGACATACAGTACATGTATTTGAGCTTATTTTTGATTCACAAGTTATTGAAAAAAATGTAATTTATTTATTTGTTTTTGCACTCATAGCGAAACTGATGAAAGATTGAGAAAATGCCGAACAAAGATTTAAAATGTGGTCTTTATGTGGACCACTCCCGAGACTTGTCCTCTGCCATACAAAACGCCACAAACAGCGGGTATTTCGTTATAAATATAATTAAATTTAGAAATAAGTTTTGATAATATAATTCTGGTTGAATTCAGTTTCAACTTCGTGGCCACCAATTTAATCCATCCGCGGTCTAATGAATTCACGCCACACAGCGATCTCCTCCTCTCGAGTGCTGGTAATGAACTAAACTTGTGTTTTACTATAATTTCATTGTAATTGTAATATAGATTGGAATAGTCTTGTGGTCGGAATGATCACTGATTGTGACCTCAAAGGCAAAGCATTGGAAAGTTCAGCCAAAATGGAGGCGGAGATCACATATGCGGTGCACTTGGGTTTACCGGCGCTTCTATTCCAGTGCCCGTCATCTGTTGAAGGGATCTCCCAATTGTCGCGATTAATTAATTCAAAGATTACTTCTTTGGGAGGTTTTCAAAATTTGCCCCAATTTTGGATTCAAATCCCAATCCATTCTCCGGTGGAAAGCAGTGAAGTTTGGAGGAATGATAGCGACGACAACAACCATATGGAGGACACATGGTTTCGATGGCAACGAATTCGGAGTCATATGGCTGTCGACAGAAGAGTTGCGATCGCACTCGAACTCAACGGCGATTTACCCGATGAGACATCTCTTAGTCGTTGGGCCGGAGAGCCCGTCAAAGCTGTAGTCATCTCCACCTCTATATTCCAGACGAATCGCAAAGAATATCCGGTTTTAACGAAAACCCACCAAATATTTATCCGAAATTTGATAACCAAAATGTCAAACGATATTCACTTCATAATCAAAGGCCACAACAGACACACAGATATGAGACATTACATCCAATATTTGGAGCACATCCGCAACACTCAGTTACCCCACGATCAGGTCGCCAACTTCGCCAAAGGCTACGAAGACTTCCTTCAAATACCACTTCAGGTATTGAGACACAAATGTGACATTCAATTGCATTTTACTAGTGATTGTTTGCATTTTATGAATAATAACAGCCTTTGATGGATAACTTGGAGTCGTGTACTTATGAAGTGTTTGAAAAGGATCCCATTAAATACGAACAATACGGAAAGGTATGCATACATAATATCCAATTCTTAAACATTATACTAATTGTAAATTATCTTTGATAAGGCCATTAACGAAGCGCTCAATGATTTGGTGACCGACGAAGAAATGTATTATCAATTAATGAATATTGTGTTATTTAAAAGACTAAATATTGAGTGCTTTGCAGAGTGATTATGGTTGTGGGCGCCGGGAGGGGACCGTTGGTCGAGGCGAGTATCAACGCGTCCCAAAACGTGAGAAAACGTGTTCACATATTTGCTGTGGAGAAGAACCCGAACGCAGTGGTGACTCTGCAAACACTTCGAGAGCAGCGCTGGGGTGGAGATAATGGCACTGAATTCGCGAAGATTGATGTGATTGCATGTGATATGAGAGACTGGGAAGCGCCCAAAAAGGCAGATATAGTCATATCAGAGCTTTTAGGTTCGTTTGCGGACAACGAGTTGAGTCCCGAGTGTTTGGACGGCGTCTGGTCTTACGTGAAAGAGACGGCTATTTCAATACCGCTCTCTTATACCTCATATTTAGCTCCAATTCAATCGCAGAGACTTTATTGCGAGGCCTCACAGCTCAAGGAGAGAGATAAGCCCTCCTATGGTGTGTTTGAAACGGGATATGTTGTGTATATGAGGAACTTCTACGCCATCGATGCGCCCAAACCTCTATTCACTTTCACTCACGACAATCTCACTCTAAAGCCTTCCCAAAGAGATAACTCCCGATTCAAATCACTTGAATTTGTGGCAAAAGTGGATACTGTTTGTCATGGATTTGCCGGATATTTCGAGGCAACTCTTTATAAAGACATCACACTATCAACTGTTCCCTCATCTCATACCACAGGAATGTTCAGTTGGTTTCCAATCTATTTCCCGATCCACAGCCCAGTCTTGATTAGAGCCGATGAGACACTGAAAGTCGACTTTTGGAGACTCACTAATCGGCGCCAGATTTGGTACGAATGGCTTATTTCACATCCCATTCCGTCGACTATCCATAACCCAAACGGGAGAACCTATTCTATCGGCTTATTGTAATGTTTGCATCGATTCCCTTATTTTTCACTATTCTTTAGCCAAATGTAATCAAAATTGTATTGTTTTTAAAATATTGTGCAAACATTAAAACTAAGAGTAAACTAATGCTGTTTTAGAAATACGATATTGTTTTTAATTTGAATACAAATAATGTGTAAACCCTTTAAATTGTGTCAAATCATGGGAAACACAAGTTTTTAAAAGTTAATAAAAAGTCAACAATTTTATGAATGAAACGTGAGTTTAAATGCCTTACACTGAATGTGTGGACCAATGATTGGCTAAGACTTGTAAACCAAATGACGTCAACAGTAAGTGTTGTGTAGTATTTGTGTTGACATGAGTTTTGTACTGAAGTTTGGGTTTTAGTCGTGAAATGCAAACGAAGTGGACGTTAAAGACCACACATTGAGTGTCCATTGAGTGCCATATTATGAGTGAATTGCGATTTGACGGCAGAGTCGCTGTCATTACCGGCGCTGCCAGAGGTCTGCACATCGAGTGATCACTCAATGCATCCAAACTTGTATTAAGTGTTGATTTGTGTCTTAGGTTTGGGTCGAGAGTACGCTCTCCTGTTGGCCACCAAAGGGGCGGCGATTGTCAGTCAGTATTCAAACATTTATTTCATTTCAATTATCACTTATAATTGTCGGCAAACCTAAGACCTGACCATTAGATCCATCACTTATTGCTGACAATGTTGTTAATGATGGCAATGAATGGTCAGTTGCAGTGTTGGCTCACTCTTTGCACTCATTTATGCAATACTACTGTATTTTGTGTTATTTTTGTACATTTAATGTGATGTCAAGCGAGGCATTAGTTTCTAACTGTTGTTTGCCTTTTATTTCATTTAAAAGTTAACAAATAGTTTATAAATACTTTTTTTTCAATGAACTGAAAATTGTTTTTATGTTTTTTTATTTGCTTTATTAAATTGTTATCAAAAGGCAATGATTTATATTATATAAATTTATATAAATTATATAAAAGTATCCAAAGTTTAATTTAATTGCAGTAATCATTGATCCGATGTTTTCCTCAATCAAACATAGATTAGTGTTTAAAAAATAACAAAAACTTATCATTGCTTTGAAAAGAAATGTTTTCTCTATTTTATGAGAAAAATTAATGAAAAAAAAGTTATGAGAAAAATCCCAATTTTCAAGTTTGCAGTAATTTTAAAATTATAGTTGATTAAAAAGTTTTGTATTGAAAAAAAGAAACTTTTATGCGTTTAAAAAGTTTTGCAATATTTTTAAAGAGGACTTTTTAGCTAAAAACTTTAAAAATAAAATTATGGTTAATTTTGGTGTTTTGTTGATAATTTTCTAATTAACATATAATTTGTTTACTAATTCTTTGATTGCCTTAAAGCCAATAATTTATACATAATCTATAGCTATAATGGATTTGAATTGGGATTTCAAATATAATACAATATAATACATGACATAATGAACTATTTTATAGTTATTCTAAGAGAGAGAGAGAGAGAGAGAGAGAGAGAGAGACTCACCAACGCGTCCGAAGGAGTCGATCGCAGTTTTAATGATTTTATGTCCTTCTTCTACAGAATCTAATAATGAAGCGATCATTAGATGTCATGTGAAACTAAAGTAGATTATAATTATATAATTACTGTAATCGGCGACAGCTTTTCCACCTCTATTTCTGATCTCTTGGACCACTTCATCAGCAGCTGAAGTGCTATTTCCTTCTCCGCTACGATTACCGCCCAAATCATTGACTAAATTAAATGAAGTTTTAATTTGGTTTGTCTTACAATCGGAAGAAAACAGAATCAGAATTAAGAATCGGAGGCAAAGGATGCATATAATTGAAGACCTGACACGACAACACTCTTATGTGTTTGAAACTATGTTTTGATCATTTCAGGGAAAGACAGGTAAATGCTCTTATAGTGAACATTCATTACAGTGTAATCATTACACTATACTTATAGTGAAAATAGCACTTAAATGTAAAATACACTCAAATAACAGGTTTCTTTATTTTTAGAATAACAAGAGAGAGAGAGAGAGAGAGAGAGAGAGAGAGACTCACCAACGCGTCCGAAGGAGTCGATCGCAGTTTTAATGATTTTATGTCCTTCTTCTACAGAATCTAATAATGAAGCGATCATTAGATGTCATACGAAACTAAAGTAGATTATAATTATATAATTACTGTAATCTGCGACAGCTTTTCCACCTCTATTTCTGATCTCTTGGACCACTTCATCAGCAGCTGAAGTGCTATTTCCTTCTCCGCTACGATTACCGCCCAAATCATTGACTAAATTAAATAACGTTTTAATTTGGTTTGTCTTTCAATCGGAAGAAAACAGAATCAGAATTAAGAATCGGAGGCAAAGGATGCATATAATTGAAGACCTGACACGACAACACTCTTATGTGTTTGAAACTATGTTTTGATCATTTTAGGATTTCTGTCCATTTACGAGAATATCACTTGTAAGTAATGTCACATTAGTAATGTGATATGAATATCACTTTTATCGTGAATTTACATTTTATGTGAGTTTATTGTCCAAAGAAATAAAAATCTTATTGTATAAAATAGTTCATTATGTCATGTATTATATTGTATTATATTTGAAATCCCAATTCAAATCCATTATAGCTATAGATTATGTATAAATTATTGGCTTTAAGGCAATCAAAGAATTAGTAAGAATAACTATAAAATAGTTCATTATGTCATGTATTATATTGTATTATATTTGAAATCCCAATTCAAATCCATTATAGCTATAGATTATGTATAAATTATTGGCTTTAAGGCAATCAAAGAATTAGTCAACAAATTATATGTTAATTAGAAAATTATTAACAAAACACCAAAGTTAACCATAATTTTATTTTTTAAAATCTTTAGCTAAAAAGTCTTTTTGCTAAAAATATTGCAAAACTTTTTAAACGCATAAAAGTTTCGTTTTTTAAATACAAAACTTTTTAATAGACTATAATTTAAAAATTACTGCAAACTTGAAAATTGGGATTTTTCTCATAACTTTTTTTCATTAATTTTTCTCATAAAATAGAGAAAACATTTCTTTTCAAAGCAATGATAAGTTTTTGTCATTTTTAAACACTAATCTATGTTTGATTGAGGAAAACATTGGATCAATGATTACTGCAATTAAAGTAAACTTTGGATACTTTTATATAAATCATTGCCTTTTGATAAATAAAAAATCATAAAAACAATTTTCAGTTCATTGAAAAAAAAGTATTTATAAACTATTTGTTAACTTTTAAATGAAATAAAAGGCAAACAACAGTTAGAAACTAATGGCTCGTTTGACATCACATTAAATGTACAAAAATAACACAAAATACAGTAGTATTGCAGAAATGAGTGCAAAGAGTGAGCCAACACTGCAACTGACCATTCATTGCCATCATTGACAACATTGTCAACAATAAGTGATGGATCTAATGGTCAGGTCTTAGGTTTGCCGACAATTATAAGTGATAATTGAAATAAATGTTTGAATACTGACTGACAATCGCCGCCCCTTTGGTGGCCAACAGAAGAGCGTATTCTCGACCCAAACCTAAGACACAAATCAACACTTAATACAAGTTTGGATGCATTGAGTGATCACTCGATGTGCAGACCTCTGGCAGCGCCGGTAATGACAGCGACTCTGCCGTCAAATCGCAATTCA